CTGCATGCACCTCTCATGGCTGTGCTCACCTCTCCTCTGCCCACTGAGCCACGAGCTGCCTGGCGGGCAGACAGCTCTCACGAGGCGTTCTTCTGGCAAGATTTGCATCACTAGCTCCAAGATTTGAGAGGAAAAAGAACTGGCAAACTCGCCTCTGGTCAGATGACTGCTGCTTTCCCAGACGAGCTTCCCATGGGTCCTGGCCTCTGGCATGGTTGCAATGATATGGACCTCTTTGAAAGGAACCAGCTGGCAGGAGGAGGATAGCAGCCTCTGTTGGCATGGGACAGCAGTGCTCCATGTCTCTACATGTGCATGTCAGCTTCTCTGCAGGCATTTCCCCCGAGTTTCACTTCCTGAAAGCACAGCCCTGGGCAGGCCCAGCAGAAAGCACCATGCTGAGTGTGGAGGAGCTGCCTTTGCAGCCCAGCTCCACGGGGCCAGGCATGGCTGGGAGTGTTTTCTCACTCTTTTAACTTTCTAGTGGCTGCTGTGGTTTCATCCCACTGGGACTACAGTTTGTAGGGAAGGTATTTTCCCAGTGTCAGGTCATGTTGCGCCTGGCATGCTGAAAGCAAGGTTTGGGCAAGGGCCTTGGGATTTCTAAATGAGGACAGCTCTATCACCTTTGCCAGAGAGGGACTTTAAGCTGTGGTTTCGAGGACACGTGCTTGCTTCTGCAGCCTGGCCACGTCAGAGTGCAGTCGAGAGGTTATGGCCCCTTCTCGCAGGCAGCCACCTGTGCTGACCCTCTGCCAGGTCATCGTGAACCCCGTCACACAGGCTTTTCTTATCAGCGCTGTGCTGCCAGTGTTGCATTAGGGAACAAGTGCGTGTTTGTTTGTTTTTTTTCCAGAGGAGCAGTGATTACAAGCACGTGGAGGAAAGAGGGGAGCAGATGGGTGTGCTGCTTTGCCTCTCCAGCAAACACGACTGTAGCCAGAGCTGAGATTAAAGTCATCCTAGACTTGCGCTCGGGTGGCTTGAACTGTTGCCTGAGATACCCATCTCCAGGGGCTGGAGTGAGTCGGATGAATGTCAGCATTTGTGACTTCTTGCCGTAGCAGCTACTTTGCAAATCCCCTGCTCCCGCTCACCCCAAGGCAACTGCTCATGGCTGCTTCCCTGGGAAACAGCTGCACATACCAGGGACAGCGAGACTCTGGGGAGCCCCTGGCTATGCAGTGTAAGCAGAGAGCGCTGGGATGCCAGGAGCCACAGGTCAAGAGTCCTTCCATCAGGAAGGAAAGAGCTGGAGGGAGCGCTGTACTGGTTTTGCTTGACTGGTTGAATGGCCTGTGGGAGGTGGGAGCAGCATGGTCAGGGATAGACTCCACCTGCCTGGCTTTTGAGTACCATGGGGTCTTGCTCTGATGGAATGAGGAGGCTGAAGGTGATCCCACAGAGGCAGGTCTTTTAGAGCAGTCAGAACAACTCCTGGCATGCTGTACTACGCTGATGATGAAAGCGAGGGCATGTGCAGGTAGAGGATGATGATGGTGAGGACTCAGGAGGTCTCCAAGCCTTCTGGATCCTTTGCTGAACCAGGTGCAGAGGCGATGGGGTGGGCAACCCAGCACCACGTCTTCTGCACACAGGAGCAGAGCAGCTTTCCTGACAGCTCCATGTGATCCTGTGGGCTCAGGTGTGGCCATGCCCTCCTGGGTGGCATCCTCGTGGCACTGCTGTTTGGGGAGAAACCCACTTCTGCTGCCTCCAGAAGCCGGAGCCAGTCCGTGCGGAGAGCAGCACAGGGTACATGCGAAAAGTAGGGAGAGGGCTGGGCTTGGTGTGCAACGTGGCTCAAGGCAGCTCAGCTACCTTTTTGTCCTCATTTTCATCCTAGCTAGAGGGCAGGGCTGGTGCTGCATGATCATGGGGCCTGCAGGCAGAGGGGAAGGAGGCAGCAAGACTTTGCTGTGGCTCATGGGTGTCCCTCCCTCCCCTTGCTACCTGCCCAGCCGGCTTCAGCAAGCTGCATCTGCAGCTTCCTCCTTGCAGGAGAAGGGGCTGGAGACAAGCTGGCAGCAGTGAGTAAACACCGGATGCTGCACTCTTGCTTGTGTTCCCTGATGCTCTGGCGCAGTTACAGCAAGAAGGCTCAGGCGCCCTTGGCTTTTTCTCCTGAGGATTTGTTGGTGTCTTGCCTCGGAGCACGTGTTCTCCACGGTGTTCTCCAGCAGCGGGCTTGCGTCAGTTCCCGGCGTGATCTCCTGCAATACAGGATGTGCAGTTCAAGCCTTTTACAGCTTGGCCAGGACAGCACGTGGCTCCTGTCTGAATAAAGTAAGTGTGGCTTCCTGCCTGCAGAAGGGCTGAACAGTGAGGGCCACCCCTCTGCAATGATCTGAGAATATGGCCGTGAGGCTGAATTCACCAGTCACTCTGTGTATGAGGTGAAACTGAAACATCTGGCTGCCCTGCTCAGCGTGGCCCAGGCCACATTCAGCCCCAAATTACTGCTTTTTCGTTTTTCCATCCTAATAGTGGTTGTTTGCAGTGGCTGACTGTACCATTCGGCAGTGAAAGGAGCTCACAGCAGTATCAAGGCTGTCCCGCCCCCTCCCCCCCCTTCCTAATTGCGCAGGGTAAGGAAAAGATCAAAATGACCTTGAAAGCAACCTGAAAAATAGGACTGAGGGTGGAGGCTTTGCCAGCACCTTGCAGATAACATCTTACAGCTGTTCATGTGTGCATGTGGGCTCCTAAGCCCATCTGGAGGGCTTTTCCATCATGTTACCTGCTGGCCTGGGACCCTGCTTGCAGTGGTGGCACAATTTCCCAGCTTCAAAGAAGTGACTTAATGTTCCTGCTTTCTGAGTGTCCTTGAGGTGGGTGATTTGTGTCTCTTTCAGAGAGAGGTATCAATGATGCTTTTTATTTTAATATGGCAAAGGTACTGGAAACTTGTGCAGCCTATTAGGCTAAGAAAGCAAAGGGACATGAGTTTCCATAGCCAAAGTGATGCAAGAAAATGAGGTGTCTTGCCTGACTGCCTTTGGTTTCCCCAGCTCAACAGGCCTCTTCATATCTGAGGTGACTTTGGGAAGCATCAGGGTGAGCTTTGAATTCCTCATTCTGAATCCCTGCTGAGACAACTGCCCTGAGTACAGGGACAAGACTGTACCAAGTACAGGGCCAAGTGTAAAAACCTTCAAATAATACAAAGTTTACTTTATTAGAAACTCCTTACCAAGGAAGCACAAAACCTCGGAATAATTTGTTGCAGTTAAGACCTCTTTTGATGGTGTTCAAATCTAATGTAAGTGTTGATGTAAGTGTTGGTCTGAAATCCTCGTGCTTTTTTTTGTATTCTGCATTGGTGCCGCCTTTGGGCTGTTGTCAGTAACTGCATGCTTTGCAGGACTACCCTTTCTAGTGAACTGTTAAAGCACTGATACTTTTTTTTCTTTTTAATGTGGGGTAGGGATTTGTGCTTTAAAATCCAAAGAGCTCTGTAGTCTGTAATTACTATAGGTAGATTGAAGCTGGGTAAGGACTTAGGCCTGTAATTTCCTTTAGCCAGTCCCATTGTCATAGGCAACATCCAAAAACAGTCAAACACTGCCAACAGCTAGAATGAGCCATTGCACAGATAAGAATCTCCAATTCACTTCAATAGCTCCTAAGGTAAAGTTGCCAGAGAATAATTATAGAAGCTTGGAGAGTTTGAGGAGTGAAGTTATCTTAATTCAACTATGTGAGCATGAGGACTCATTTTGCAGGTGTTAGGAGGAACTGTCTCCTGAATAACTGTTCACCTATAACCTAGTGTCTGAATTCTTCACCATGTTTGTTGTAAGATGGGGAATTCTGTGTGAGAAGGAAATCTGAAGTTCTGCCTCTGTTGCTTGATAGCTCTTTGCTTTACGGATATCTTTCTCGTAGGGTCTAAAGACCTGTTTGCCCATCTGTACGTACTCTTGTATAAATATTTATAAGCTGCCTTTCCCTTCCTCAGATCAAAATTCCTGGGTGTATCTGGAGTTGGAACTGTTGACTTTGTTCTCTCAGTACAGGGACACCACAGCTCAGGGGTGGATTGACAGCAGTGAAATGCAATATTATTGTAAAATGGATGGCAGGGTAATGTCATCAGCTCTGGGAGATGTGAGTTCAGAGTACCCTCCTCTGCACTGCGCAGGTACCTTAAGGTACTCCCTGTCCCTTGGTGGTTCATTATCCACTTCCACGAGCCTGCCTGTGCTTTGCCCTTCAGAAAGGTGAATTCTTGCTTCTTCGGGCACCTTGCACCCGTTCTAGCATCAGTCAGCCAGCTGTGTATCACAGCCTTTCTCCAGCCTCCCTCCCTTCACGGGGCAAGGGTACCTCATCCACCTCGCAACCCAAGGCGCTCTGCAGGGCAAGCAGACAGGAGAAGAGACCTGCAAAGGCAAGCCTGAATACAGAAGCATCCCTTCTCGATGCCTAAACTGCTTCCTGCCTCCCTGCTCTGCATTGGCCTTGTCTTGCTCACTTCCCACGCCAACGAAACTTTGCAAGCTGAGTCATTCCTTTTATGGGGCACACTGTATGCAGAACCCATCCACGCACTTCACAGAGCTTCAAGGAGGTGAGGTCTTGTGTGTCTTTTGAGGGGGGGGGCAGGTTTTCTGAACAGTGTCACTGTAGAACAAAGAAGGAAAAGTGAAGCACCAGCCTGCACCAGCTTGCAGATGAGGCAGAGAGGATGGCTGTTGTATGAAGGGAATCTGCCACTTGAAAGGCTGGGAGATTAGTCAGAAGAATGTGCTAAAAGTGTATGCAATGATAAATGGGTCCTTTGATGAGGACAAGATGACAGGTGAAAGGAAAGAAATCTTTCTTTAAAAGAATTTATTTTCCAGAGTAACATGTAATATACATATCCAGAAATTCCCTGAGGCCAAAAATACATCAATATCCAGAAAGAGACTAAATGGATGGGGACAGTAATAATATCCAGATTTGTGAGCGTTAATGGCAGTAAAAATGTCAGCAGGGATATTAAAATCCGTGCTTCAGCTTGCAAGAAACTCTTTAGTCATTAGATCCAGCTGGAGGGAGTCAGCCCAGGTTGTTGACTGCCTTGTGGAGGCAAGGCCTGTGCAGTCCCAAGCGAGAGGCTCGGGCATGTGAAGCAGGAAAGTCTCACTGAAAATGATAAGTGGCATGTGAGCCTGCAGTCTGGATTTCTGGGGTTTTTGTCTGTGGCATCTGCAGGAAATGTCTACCCTTGTGTATACATCTGTGGCAGGGAGAGAGAAAGGAAAAATGAAATGGGGGAAGGGAGGTGGGACCACTGGGGCATCAACCTCTCAGAGTTGATATGTTGATACGACATATTATTGCATAAGTTAGCTGTGCTGTGAATGGGCTGGGTGTTGATTAGAGCAAAATATTGTTAACTCTGCAGGCTTGAGGAAATTTTCTCAAAGGTAGTAACAAAGCTCGTGTTGGCTTCAGCGCTGCTGGGTTTCAGACCCCCTGGCCTAGGCAATGCCGTCTTTGTAAGTGCATAGGCAGTAGGAGATAAGCAATCCTTACCATCCTGTGATGATAGAGCATGGTTTATTAAGGGATGTGTGTATATATATTTATATACACACTTGAGAGTAGTCCCTACTGCTGTGAAAGGATGTCTGAAGTGAGTAGAAACAGTTTTTTTGATGGAGCAAAGGATTTTCTACCATTAGCCCTGTGGGGACTTAACGCTAAATCAAATAACAGTGTCAGGGCTGATAGGTAAGCAATGCAGAGGAGTCTCTGCAAATTGCTTTGCCTGCATTTAATTAGTGCAGTAGAAAATTATAGCTCTAGAGGAAAAAGTGAGAGATATTTTGAGCATGTAGGCCTGTGGGAAGAGTTCAGCCTAGGAGAGAAAAGCTCAAGAGCATCAAAGTCTTCTATACTCTTCCCTACTTTGTCTGCTCAGAGGCAGGCTCTGAGCTGTATGGACTTGTGGTTTGATTCGGTAGCAGTTTTCTGCCAGTGCTGAAGGTTGTAGAAAGTGGAGCAGCAGGGGAAATAGAACTTACTATTATTTGCAGTGCTGCAAGGGGCTGCCATTTTTGCCTTGAGCAGCCCGACTTTTATCCTCTGGGAGATGGGACACAAGCACTTCTTCCACAACGTCCTGTGAAAGGCACAGGGACATTCAGTGAGCACAGCCACCCAAGGGCTCACGTCAACCTTTCTGCATCTTCTCAGAGACCTAGTGCCTCAGCAACAGAAATTGCAGGCACCATTACAGCATTCCGGCCATATCCCGCTTTCCAGTAATCTCGAGACGGCCTTTTCTTTCTTTCTTTCCTTTTTTTTTTTCCTTCCCTCTTTCACCTTTCTTTGTTTTGCACAATAATTTCCTTTCTTCCTAGGCAGGAGTGGACAGCAGTATTGTTTGATTTCTGTTTTTCCAGTGGGCCATGGCACTCCCTAGGGCTTGTAGCTCTTGCTGTGTTGCTTATCTGTGAAGGATAGGTCTGAAACTAAATTAATCCGGATTCATAGTCGGTCCCCAAGGATGTAAGGCAGGAATTTTTCATTAGTAAAACTATGAGATAATTTGTATTAACATGTATATTTTAACCCCCCGAGCCACTGTTTGGACACACATTTGAAGGCCGCGTGATGGACTCACTACCTCTGTGCTCTTCTGCAGATCTTTGCATAAAATGAGGCTTTTGGAAGCCTTTCGGTCTCTCAGGGCAACTCCGACTTCCCCCTGCATAGCATTTCTAGAGTTTTTGTCGAAGTGTGGAGCCTGTGGAAGAGAGGGAAGCAGCATGTCCACACAGGGAGAGGTGCAGGATGGAGCTGTGTCGCAGGTGCATGCACAAGGACCACAGATGAAACTCCTGCCAGGGGAGCTCCTGCTTTTCAGCCTCTTTCCATAGGTTTCCAGTCTTATTAGTGTCACTAGGCTCTGAATTGGGGTGTCATAGTAGACAAGCAGGCCTATGCTAAGAGATAAACTTCAGAGGATTTCTTTTAGTGGTACCTCCCAAAGCAATTCTTTTGCCACTCTTTTATCTCTGCTTAGCACCTACCATTCCAACCACATTACCCCAATCCCTACCTTCATACAGGGCTGCATCCCTCCTCACAATGGCCCGAGAAGTAGGTGGGCCCTCGCACAAGGGCATGTCCTTCAGCAGCTGCCCAACTTATTTCATGACAGCTTTGAGCTTTTCCCATGAGTGTTCACACATGTCCCCGCTCCGTGTCCCCTCACAGTTGTTTCTCCCCCGTTTTCCTGTCTAGTGTGCAGTTTCTCTGCACATCTGTTGTGAGTTCTCAGGCTTTGTTGCTTGCAGCCAGTCTCGGGAGTGTGGTTGCGTGTGGCCTTTGCTGCAAGCACATGTTGCGTGCTTGCGTGTTTTTGGTTTGAAGTGAAACCTTTTCAAACTGCTTGCTGTTGGAGGAGAGAATTATTACCATCAGCTCTTCACACTTGCATGCTATAACTCAACGTCTATGTGTGGATCTAGCTGGGATCTTTGATAGCAGCATGAAACCACTTCAACAGCTTATGGCTCTTGCTTTCCTGTGTTCTCTGTCTCAGCTCCATCTCCATTTCTCCTTCCATCTTTTGCTCTGGATGCACATCTCTATGTACTGTGCTCTTGCCCTACCACTGCAGCTACCCATGCCGTTCTGTGGCGGTTTGCTTTGAAAAAATTGCCAAGTGCTTTTGCTAGTGAAGGTGCCATGCAAAAAGTGAATGGAAAATTAACAGAGATAGGAAACTTGACTGCCAAATCAGAGGAGCTTTGAGTAGTGTGTTACGAGCCATTTGTCAAGGGTCATGAGATGTTTAGCAAGAGAGGAGTCGCCGTTCAGGTTCAGATGTACAATCCACCCAGACTGTGACATCTTTTGAAATGGCAATTGCTGGCTGCTCTTGGGAGGGAGCAAAATGGGAGGAGGCAACTGTCTGGGAAATGGCCTGTCTATACAGGGGATTTCACCAGTAGTGGCTTTGCTACTGTCCCCTCAGCATAACTTTCAAAGACATCTTGGTCTGCAGGGTGTTTCGCAGCTAGCTGCTGCCAAGGCATGAGATGCATTCAGTATCGCTGGGCAGTGGTACATCTGCTTCAAGGTGCCATCTGGCGCCTCAAGGAAGTTAAATTATTGCTATGTAAATGCTGCAGAGCCCAGGAATAGAATGTCAAAGAAATTATTAGGTCACAGCTTTCACAGCCAAAGCATCTTAGGAGCTCCAGGCTTTCTGATTGCTATTGACTCAAGTACTTGGCTATTGTGGTCTTCTTGTGCTACTGAAAAGTTAACATCTCTGTAGTTGCTCTCTGAGAGGACCTGGTGAATGAGTCTAGGGAGCTACTAACCCACTCTGCTTTCTTTGGAAGGGCAAAAGAGTGAGACTTCGAAAGAGGCCAGTGTGGAGGGAGCTTCCCATCACACGCTTTGTTGTTGAGGCACCATTCTCCATGTCTACTACCTTAACTAGGACGCCACACAGATCACTCAGACATGAGCCAGCCCCCTCGCACCTCCAGCTTCAGAGTGCTGTTCTCCACCTCAGTGTCCTGGAGGGAGCAGACAAACTTGTCCCCAGAGGCAGGCTTGCTGCAGTTCTTCACCACCGGGCTTTGTCACTCATGGACTAAGGACTGGAGCCCCCTAAGGATGTGGGATGAGACTGCCTCAGCAGTCAGATACGGACAGTCAACCCAGCACAGCCTCCAGGCATATCAAAAGCAGCTCACGTTCTCCTCTGTGATAGAGGAGAGAAAACTTCAGTTGGCTCTGGGAGCTGTGCAGGAGATCTGAATCGCTGCACGCAAACCATGCAGTAACTCCATCCTGATGGAGGAGAGGGGTAGGCAAACAGTTGACTTGTCCAGCCCAGCTTGTAAAGCCAGGATCTAAGCAGAGAGAGAGAGAAGGTCTGATAGGTTTGAACTTCACTTCTCCTACTACAGTGCAAAGAGATGAAGGTGCAGTTGTGCTGGGGGATGTAGCACAGGTGTCTATTGTTCGTTGAGGCTATTATGGAGATGGAATGAGCCACAGTGGGACTCCTCCAGCCTTACTTGGGAGCCACATTTAATCTCCTGTTCTTGCCCGTGGCTCTGCCTGAGTTGCATTGCAGCCAGGCCCACGTCTGGCCGTTGTTCCCTTGATCCAGATCTTGACCCACGGACTTGGCTTGACCTTGGACCTGCCTGTTTTACCGGGGTCAGACCGTCACCTGAAGTAAATCAGGGTGTTTACAGCAGCTCAGAAATGGTTTTGCTCTTGTTTTCTCTGAAAGCATTGAACTCTGACAGCCAAGCTGCAACAGTGGCAACAAGCACAACGAAGCAGCTGCTTCCATGCAAGATGACCCCTCTTTTAGAGTTTTCTTCCTCTCACCATGCATTTCTTTCCAATGTTGGCTCTTCTTTTAACTAGCCACACATGAGCAGCTGCAAGCCTTTATTAGCCATTTGGAGTCAACAGCTGCTAGGGGTATTTTTATGCTGATCCCCTTACGCTGTTGCTGAGTAGGCTCTTGCACCCCCCTGCCATGGGACTGGGTAGAGAAGCCATTTGTGCTCTGCTGTTGGTCTGCTGTGTGACCTGGCCAGCTGCAGAAAGCTCACCAGGAGCTCGAGGAACTTATTTTACAGGAAACCACATCCACTGTGGTAAGTGGAGAAGCAGTCTGGAAGTGGAGAAGAAACTGGACCCCTTCAGCCATGGAGAAGGGATGGGAAAGCTAGGTGCAGCCTTTGTCTCTTCTTAAATAAGGATTTAAGAGCTAGATAGGGGCAGAGGAAGTAGAAATCAAACTCTTGATCAAACTGGGATAAGTTTTGGTTTTTCTTTTTTTTTTTCCTACCAGTTTTCTGTCTTCTTTTTTTTTTTTTTTTTAGCAGCAGGTTTCCATAAGCTCAGTAGCAGCCCCAAGCGTACCTGGGAGTAGGTATAGAGGAGCTCTCTGTTGCATATTGTGATATCTGGCTTCTCTGTCTTGCCTGCAGCCTAAACAACTGTAACATCTGCTAGCAGCTTTATTTAGGAGAGATCTAAATCTGGATTTGGCACCCCAAATTTATGTAGACTCCTCCTAGTATCCTCTGGGAGGCAGAGATACAGTAGAGCAATGTAATGCAGTGAGGCTGGCTGGTGACCTACTGCGTTGGTGTTTTGCTTCCTCCTTTCTTCCTGTGTATCTCTGTGCCTGTCTAGTCCTGCTGGGGAAACGAGGAGGAGTGGATGTGTGGTCCTGGCACATGTGGAGTGTAATGAGGAGATCCTGTGCAAGTGTGCTCTCCTGGTCAGCAGGAGAGCCTGTCCTTTTGGGTGCCTTTTCGTTGCCATGGGACTCTTTAGGTTTTCTGTGTTGTTTTCTAACTGTGGTCGGTCCATCTCCCTACCCTGCAGGATTTCTGAAAATGTGGATAGTGTATGAACTTGCCCTAGCATTAATGTACCTGCCTTGATAGCTATGTTGTTCTGCTTAGCAGTGTCAATGAGAAGAGGTGTTTTTTTGCTTTCCCCAGGTGCTCTCTGCTGCCTTTCTCCTAACCCAGCCTTTACAGGTGTCACAGCCTCTACTCTCTGTGAGAGTAAAGAAAAGCTGAGTAAGTGCCTTAGCTTGGAGGAGATGAAGTCTGGGGATTAAAAGTCTTGCAGTGAGATTTTTTTTTGAGCTTTGAAAACCTTTTGGAGAGTTCAGCATTTTAAAGCAAAGCTTTTAGATGGAGTAACCCAAAACCTGTGCCGTGGATGGAACTTTTCTCCTTGGAAACCTGGGCCATGGGCAGGAGGACAGTGGGCCTGAAGGCCTCACTCCGCCTCTCTTCCTGCCTGGATACTATTGCAGCCAGTATGGGCTTGCGGGGCCCTGTGTGAGTGCTGCTGTAGCGTGAGTGCTGGTGCCAGTTACCTGGTGTCTCCTTCTGGCTCAGGCTACCTTGTGGGCGCCTCTGCAATATGCTTGCAACAAAAATGTAGCTCTGAGCAGTGTAGCAAGCTGTGCTCAGATGGCATTTAGGCCTGCTGCTTCCAGGCACAGGAAATGGGGTCAGCCATATGCAGTAACAGTCTGTGCCCCTGCATACCTGAGAAGGGAAGAGGAGGAAGGAGCAGTGGGAGAGAGATTTACTTATTTCCTTTAGCATAAAACATCCAAGATCTGTGGCTGGCCAGAGTGTGACTGTTACCAATAGGCCAGTACTTGGAAACATAAGGGCTCCCTTGGTATTAGTGCAATTATACTCTGTCCCTGTGTTTCCTCCAAAGGGTGGTGGAAACAGACTCCTAGGGGTTGCTGTGTGGTGTTGCCTCATACTTACTTCTACTTCTGTTGTGTTTCTGGAGCTGACACATCTGGCAGGCTAAGACTGCCAGCACCACCAGGCGCCAAGAGGGTGGCTAATGCCAAGATCTCATACTTCCAGGCACTGGCAAGAGGCAGCCATAAGCTGTGCAAGTCAGTCACGATGGACTTTTTCTGGATTGTAGCTTCTTTCTCTGCAAGACACAGGAGGGAGATATCAGCATGGCTAGTAGCGCCTTGCCACACTGCACGGGCCAAGCAGAGTGCAGGCTGGCAGGGATCAAGTCTATATTCCAGGCATGTGAAAACTGAAAGCATGGCCTAAGAATGCAAAATTAGTCACGTTGCCTTCTTGGCGGCTTGTGAATGTTTTATTTATGTGTGCTTGTGATCACAGGGTCCGTATCATGGTGTCACCGATTGATGCTGTTCTTATTGTCCTGTATACAGGCGGGAATCTGCTGGGTTTCATTGCTTTCTTAGGACAATTCACAAAGCAACTTACAGGTTTTTAAGATTAAAGACTGCAGGAAATGTGAGAAATGTGGTAATGTGAAGGACCCTTGATTTCCTGGCCAGCTCTTTTTTTTTTTTTTTTTTTTTGTTCCAGTTTTCTTCACTGCTGTGCTTTACAAGTGCTGCCTCCTATGGTCACCTACCCTTGTGGACATTGCCATGTGGGAGCAGATGCTCAGGGGAAGGTTAAGACTGGGGTAGCCACCCAGCCATTCTCTTCCCCAGATGTTTCTCTGTCTCTTGTGATACGCAGTGGGCAGCCTTCTTTGCCTTTAGTAAGGCCCAGTGAGTTTTGTTTTTTAATTTCCACTAATTCGATTGCCTTTCCAAGCTGTGTCACACTGTGTGTTCCGTAGCAGCCTATGGCAAGGAGTTTCCAGCTTAACAGCAAGAACTATCTCCTTTATTTCAGCTGAGTTCTCCCATGTGCATTTAACTTGTTCTCTAGATCTTGAATTGGTCCTCATAAGAGGATCCCCTCTCTTAATTTTTGGGAGAAGACTGAGGCCAGCCCAAAGGGCTGGAAAAGCAGAGGGATGAGGCGCTCAGGTGGGAGTGCTCCTTCCCCCTGCCCTTTTAGACCCTTTCTCAATAAAGCCCTGGTAGAGAATAGAAACGAGTTCCTTTTTTTGATTGCTCAGGATAAGATTAAAGCACTAATCTGTGCAGGGGAGCAAACATTTTAGCCACCTCTAGCAAACAAGAGCACCTACGAAGCAGCGCCTGGCTTTGGATAAGAGCTGTTTTACGAAATTGCTGCTCTCTTCTGCAACCTAAAACAAGTTTTAAAGCAGGAACTGATTTATGCAAACTTTGTGGACAAAAGCTCAGAGTAGATGTGATCCTTACTCCCCGCTGCTGAACAAGTTGTTCTCAGCGGGAGTTTTCTCCTATGATTTCTCAGCACTGACTGTATTAACTGCGCCCTTGGTGCAGGATCTTGGGCAACTGCCGAAGGTGCTGGATAATGTATCACCAGCAATCACTGCTGGAGATGAAGCAATAGCAATGAAGGGGAGGAGACTGGCATAAATATCCTTGTGTGGGTGAGATCTTGCGCATTCAAGCTAAAAAAAACCCTACTTCCCGATAATATGCTTGCTTTAAAAAAGGACTAAGAGAAGCCTTTAAAACAGGCCAAGAAGTTTAACTCATTACTAACCTGCAGCAAGATGTTGTTGTTAGACTAAAACCAGAATAACTGAGCTACAGATGGGCTTAAATGTGGTATTAGAGCATCAAGGGGAGTTCCTCTGCAGTAGTAACCCAAAGGGAGAGCTTTTTATGAAGGTAAAATACCGTTAGTACGACAGGCAATTACATACATTACCTGTCTGTCAGCCCTGGTTCAGCCGTGCGGATTTACAACCTGAACCGGAAGTTTCTACCTAGGATGGAATCTTATAATATCAGCTCTCCATCCGCTCATGAGCCTGTGGATGTCCTTATGAATCTGAGTCTGTTTCCAACACTGAGCTTAGCAGAGCCCCATAATCTCCAATGGAGGAACAGAGTCGGGTTGTGCTGATTAGATGGAAGTGGCCCTAATGAAGAGTCTTGCTTGCCTTCTGGTAAGGGCAGGAGCAGAGCAAGGGAAAAACAAGAGCCCAACAGTGAGGAAATGGGCTAGCGCCTTCCTACACAACCTGCTTAGATTGAAGCTCCTCTCTGTGCCAGCTGGTGCATAGCTCATGGATGCGCTGAGCTGCTGATTTTTTTTTCTCTCCTCCAAGAAAAGCCTACTAATGTTGTTAACATCACCAAGCTTTCTGTGTGGGCAGTGGGCACTCATGTTTTCAAACAAACTCATTGTATGACTGTCATTCAGGGGAAAAGCCTTTAATTTCGTAAGTCCTCTGTCAGGAGAAAAGAATGGTCATCTTGCTGTTCGCTTTTCCCAAGCCCCAGTCCAAAAGCACTGCAGTCCAGTGATAGCTAACTCTGGAAAATACCTGGAAATAACACTGCTAGAGTCTAGGAGGCACCCGCAGGCTGCACACCCTCATGAAACCAAGAGGAATCCGTTCCTAGTTGCTCCTCCTGGTTTATCTCGACAACGGGCAATGGAAAAGTCCTACCTTGGGCAGCTGCTGAAACTCGGGTCCTCGGGAGCCCCCTGAGAGCATGCGTGGGCTCAGCAGTGCACCAAGATGGTGTGCTCTGCTAGGAAAACACGGTCCCACCCTGCTTGGCTCCAGAGAGCAGGTGATGTTGACCAAGCCGGCTTGGAGCAGGGCGCACGCACAGAGCAGTGCAGTGGAGGCAGCTGCGTTGTGAGCTCTGACAGAACTGCCAAGGCCCGGGGGCTCAGGCGAGCAGCTGCCCAGGAGTGTTCAGGGTTCCTCGTGTACAAGGCAGCTTGGCAAGTCTGGCCGTGAGGGTTGCGGCAGGACCTGAGCTCCTGGGGCTCCTTATACTGCCTTACAGCTGTGCAGCAGAGTCCGAGCAGGAATCCTCTTCTCTCCTTACCCACACATCTAGTCAATATAGAAGGCAGTCAGATTGGTCAATGTCATGTTGGCCTGGCGTGCCACTTTTGTTTTCTACTTATGTGCCCAGAAATTGAGAAAACGTCAATGCTTTCTTCCTTTACTCTCACTAATCATATTAGAGAAAAGAGGAATCTAGATACTGAAAAAATAGAACTTGAACTTGAGCAATTAAACTTATTTGAATTGATATTTTGTATTTTACCACTTTTGGGATCTTTAGCATGCAGTGAATAGTCTGCAAGTTGACTTTTGCAAGCTGTGTAGAAAACTAGCCTTAAAATATTTCAGCAGGCAGTGCTGGAACATTCTAATAGGAAAGCTTTTGCAAATCTGATGCATTTGCAATATTTCAATAAGTATTCTAGTATAATTAAAATTATAACATTAGTCATGAATATTTGTAATCAACGATGGATCTGCCTAGATGAATGTATCACATAGGGCATACTTTGCCTCGTCTATGTTCTTGCTTCTGTTACTGTTCTGTCTCTACAGCTAAATGATTTCCTCAAATATCTTTGGACCAGGAAAACAAATCAAAGGAACAAATATTATGTGGGAATACTTTGATTGTCTACTAGGACCTAATTAGTTTGCTACCAAATGTGTGTGGGTTTTTTTTTTTTCTATTTTAGTAGTAGGGTGGAGATGATGGGCTTTAAAGTACCCATAAGGGAAAAAAAAAAAAAATACAAACTATTACAAACAGTGCCCTCACGTGGAGAGAAGGGAAACTTCTTTTCAATTAAAATGGGCAATATGTCTGTCAAATTAAGAGCACAGTGAATGGAGTTGATCTTGCTACTGAGACAACGTGAATTGATAATTGAGAAGCAAGTTCTTCCTGTGTGTGAGAAGGAAACAAATAATCAGAAGGCCTCATTCCAAGGAAAAATATCTAAACAAATTACTAGGCAAATGCACAGAATGTTCTGTGGCCACTCCTGTATTAAGAGAGCAGAAACTGGACCAAATTAACTCCAGAGGAATTATGGTGAAGTTGATGTCCTGTGATTACGCAAAGATTGAATCCGGAGGTGGTGTAACAATTTTTTGTCAGTTTAACTGCTGACAGATGAACTCTTACAGCTTTGCAATGGACGCTTAGGATCTTAGCACCTTCCCTGCCCACTCCTTCCAGCTAGATGTTTCTGCTGCAAATGTTGGGCCACATTTATTAGGCCTGTGAGAATTCTAATCAGCTGCATTGCAAAGGCTGTAGGTTTTGAGTCATCATGAACCAACAAGCCTGGCCTATATGAACAAAGTTTGTGGATATGAGTATGAATTAAATATACGTAACAAAGTAAATATTGTAAATGTGTCTCCTACAATACACACTGATGATAAGTGGTGTTTTGGAGATTAAGCTTGTACTACTACATCAGTGTTATGTGTATGATAATATGAGCAGTAGCACTGCTGTGGGCAGCTCTGGGTGTAGTATAATCTTAATCTGCAAAATCATATAACCCCAGATCTGCTCATTACAAAATAAGGTTGTGAATGATGAACTCTCATTTTTTTCCTTTTAGCAAAAGCTAGGAAAGCACTGAAAATGCAAGGTGTAAAGAAGGTATTAATAATAGAACTAAAATTTTCATCTGGCCTTATGATGACAGAAAAGGAAATAGTGACATCCTGAGGAAAGAAAATAAAATGCTGAAATTGGAGAGTTCTGTCACTAAGCTTATTTTAAATGTTCTTCTAGGTCCTGTTTAACCTGCAACACTACTGAATCAGTGGAGAAGGAAATAGTTGTTTGTGATTTGCCATCTCAGTGCCCCTGTGCACAGTTCACAATCAAGAAAGGGGACGTACCTTTCTCCAAGAGATTGAGCAAGATCTGACAAGGTGGGTAAAATTAAGCAATCTAAAGATTCCAGAAGAATGGTATGTAGTTAAGGAAAATATGTGTTATTAACTAACGATTGTTTTATGAGGCATTATAATGGTATTTTTATGAAACATTTCAGGCATTTTAATAGTATTAGAGCTTTGTGCATTTTCCCCATACCTAGAGAAAAATATTTTGGGGAAAATACAACCCTAGCATGCCTAAAATGCAGAACTGAATTCAAATGTTTTTTTTTTTTTCACTTTCATTTTGTATTTTGTGATACTGTGCAGTCCATAGCAAATTGAGGATCTCATCTTTCTTCAGGTGCATTCAGAAAACAGGCGATTAATTTTATTGCCCCTATTTGGTCTGTCTTTGATATCTGTGCATTTTGTGGAATTTCAGCATCTTATGGATGCATCTGGCAGTTGTTAAGACAGAGGGTTCATTGCCCATAACAGTTTAAAAAAAAAAAAAGTACATAAATGCATTTTTCTACTCACTTATACATATTGTAGAATCTTATGTTTCCTTCACAAGGTGCAGATTAGCCTATATGTCTCTCAGTGGAAAATGAAAATCCTCAAGGGAGTCATAAACATGTTCAGTGTTCTTAAACAATAAATTTTAGATACAAGGTGCTGGCTTTGTTTCCCTTTTATTTCAATTTTAAAACAAAGATACTCTACAATTTCAATGGGGGTTACAAGATGTCAGGTCGAATTGCACCTACCAACATTTTTATACACTTGCAAGTAATTTACAGTACAAACATGAATGAATCTTGACTAACCTTCAAAACAGAAAAGTAAATGACTTCAACCATGGGTGTCATTAAATGATTTTTGACATTTTTACTTGATTTCCTACAGGATATTTTTTGAAAAAAAATCGGAGATTTCTCACCAGTTTATTCAATTTCACAACAACAAATAGCACAGAATAAATCCTTTAACACAGAGAAGTTTGATATTATTTTCTCAAGTGTTCTTGAGTTAAACTGGAAAGCTGTGTGACAGTTTGGGCACACCTAACCTTGCTGTTTGTCACTAGATGGTGCTCATGCTGAGTTGTTTCTATAGCCTTATAATTAGAATTCCTGTACTTCTCTAAAAAGGAAAAAAAAAGGAAAAGAAAGAAAATTAGAATACATATGGCTGTTCCAGATGTTAATTCCAGGTAAGTGGTATCCCCCCAATTATACAAGGAAATTAATTTTAATTCTCGGAAAATCAGAACTGAAACCACAGAAGATTCCACACTAATATGAGGATGCAAATTCTGTAAAGCTTTAAATTGTGTAGTGAACATTGCTTAATACCTTAACATTTGAATAATGCTAATTCCAAACAGGTAATATTCTAACATTGCTAACTGCGAAAGAAGGTAAAGAGATTGTTTTACACAAAGCTGTGATAATTATTGTGCTCAAAATTTGTGTAAAAATGGTTTAACACTTAATTTTTAGATACCACAGTTACTTATTTACATGTTGCTGAAATGTCCTTCATAGAAGCCTCTCTAGGAAGGAAGTCTGACCACATGCTGCTTTGTGGCAGAGAATAAGTGCAGTATAAGAGCACAGCAAAGGCCTCCCAATTGAGAAGCCTTTTTTTTTTTTTTTTTTTTTTTTTCCTTGAGTAGCTAGGAGAACTAGATAATCATAGCAATTCCTGACCTCCAAGTCTTTACATCAAATTCCTATAAAACTGTGCAACATGTTCCACACAACACACTCTTTATGTCTGTGAGGCTGTGTGCTTTGTGTAGATCAGCACCTGAACGTTTCTGCCCAGTGCTCCGCTTCGCATTGGTGCAGATGCTATGGCAGATGATTGAGGAGATTCATCTGTCTCAGAGTTTTCTGACAGTGAACATTGTATTTCAGCAGCAGGCAAGTCTGCTTATTTGTAAATGCTGTGCATTCTTCTTCATGGTTCTTTGCTGTTTTCAACAAGCACAGTTTCTTGCTCTTTATTCCCAGATGGACCCCACCTAACTCTAACCTAGGTGGAATTTGCCATCTTCCTTTTTCCTGTGTTTTCTGCTACGCATATGTGGGACATTTTAGTTAAAGAGGAAATGGAGAAAGTTTTTAGAGGCTGGGTTTTCTCTTGGAGCAAGAATAGCTTTGCCTGCTTTTTGTAATAATATTTATCCTAAGTTTCATTTTTTTTCTGCTTTCTCTCTGTTTTCTGTCACTAAACATGTGGTGACACCTGCGCAAGGTCTGTCTTGTCCCTTTCATTCTATGCTCTGTAGCAATGTATCATTCTTTATCCCTTTCATTCCTTTCCTTCAGGTGAAGTCTGTGTTCATTAGGGGCTATTCCAGGCCTAGGTTAAGGGAAGCTACTTGACTGTTCATTTTGATGATCAGGATGCCAGACTTTTTTTGGCAGAGTCAATGTACTAACATGTAAAGAGTCAATCATGAAGTTTGAGTTCATGGAAGTCTGAAATTAGAGTGATTTATTTAAAAACAAGTAAAGGTATTAAAAATAAAATAACACTTCTATGAGAAATTGTGTTAGTAGCTAACACTAAATTCTGCACATATCTGGAAATCTTAGAAATTTACAGGTGTAGTACAGAAAACATTCATATTTTCACAGTCATTAATTCCACAGTGTAGTTGGTGTAAGAAGACAGACTTGCAGATTGCTTTTCAGAAAGCTGGAGCTTGGACATGGGCTGGAGCTGACATTTACTGTGTCCTTTACCTTTAATATCCAAATGCAATGCACAAAGTCAACTGAAACTCCAGATTGTGCAAACCCTACTTACAAAAGGAA